CCTATACCGATCAAGAAGTCCACATTTTACAGGCCTAAACACTAATTTAGAATGCCCTAATCGTCGGTGGATCTGATCTATATGTGGAGATTAATTTTATTTGACACCACCAAACAAAAACCATATGCAGGCATTGATTGTACCTTTGACTATTTTAAGTGCTAGTGATCATGAAACTTGTTGCCATTGTCATGTAGTTCCCAACAGCATGATTGAGATCAGATAGGATTTTTTTGGAGGGGTGGTGGTTCCTGGTTAGGACAAAAATAAAACCAGTTTCCTCGACTAATTTGAGAAATAATGTTTGGGTTTTCCATTTACGTTCTGAATTCAAGCAATTACTGCTCCGTACATAACAGGATAAGTTACAAGAGATTCTTTCATTGAACTGGAAAAAGCAGTAAAAGCACCGCACATTGCGTTTTTTTTTTTTTTTTATTAAGTGAGATTATTGGGTTTTGCTCGATATATCTTTTATTTCCTAGTGGGTTCAAGCAACTGGACCTAGCAAATTCATTGAAAATTTTTTTCCATAATTTTTCAGCGGATTCGAATTCAAACAACAACCATCTGTTTGATTGTTGCATGCTTTGATCAGTACTTCTTGTCTCATTCTTTCTTTTTTCTTTGCCAGCCACGTACTTGAATGGACGTTCACATCTTCCCCCCCATCACCGGGCTCAGTTGCTATCCCTATAATAATTAATGCAGTAACAACTGCAAATACAAAGATAAGGCGGCAAAGCAGTTTTTGATCATGCTTCAATGTATAGAAAAAGTAGTACATTGCAAAATTCCTTTTATAATATATATGGCTCATTTTTGGTTAACTGTTAGCCATTGCCCGGCAAATTCTAGCTACCCCACGTGAAACATTAACACCCAGTTGGTTTTTTTTTTTTTTTTTTTGTTTAGGATCTTTCAATATCCTATAACTATTTTGAGTCTCAATTAATTTAGAATCAAATCAAATTGAATTCATAAAAGAGACAAGCTTTCTCAAATTTATTTTTTTCATTTACAATACTCGAAATCGATATCTTATTTAAAAGAAACTGAACTTCTTACCACTCGAATCAACATACGTCTGTAACACCAAGCTGGTTATTAACATTTTCAGTGGTTCTAGCTACTTGTACACTTGATTAAAATTATTCTGATGAGCTTTACTTGATTGAAAGTGAAAGAGAGGGATAGCTACAACATTGATCGAGTAAGGTGTCATATAATAACATGTTCCATCGCATTTTCTACCTGTTTCTTTCCAATTTCTCTGTTTCTTCATTGGTTTTTTCCTCTTGAAATGTCTTCAAAACTAGCATATAATTTGGCTTTTTCTTTTTCACAAGTAGTCTTGTTTGCCTTTCATAATTCGTGGGCTCCAATTTCATCATCTATAATGAATGCCACTTTCTGTTTCTTTGATGGATCGTCGACGATGATTTATATTTTGCGGCTCAAAATACCCAACCCGTCTTCATTCTTTGGTGAATGGAGCCCTGTCAGTAAATACAACTTGCAAGAAAAAGTGCTTGAGGCAGCTAAGTGTACTCTTCATGGTTAGACAGTGCATATGCTGAAAAGCATAAATGATTTAACTTATACTACTTCATAACTCTCTTCCGACGTTTTCATAAAAATTTTTATTGTAACAGCGAAAATTTATGTCATAGAATTCAAGATTTTTTAAAATTAGTTCGTGTTAAAATTCAAATGCCAACATTTTTTCTTATTATCATCGTACTGCGATTTCTTTTAAAAAAAATTTATATCAATTCATTTTCTTCTATTCAAAATCATGTTGCAAATTGAGCCCTTTAATTAGGGGTAAACAATTGGTCAGTTCCGTTGAATTGATTTAAAAAATCCAATAACCTACTTAATTGATTTTTATTTAATAAATAATTAAATCGATTGAAAATTTTTAAATAATCGATTATAGTTGAACTAATTAAAATTGATTCGGTTCGATCGATTTTGTTAGTTCAATTAAATAATTAAATTTTTTAATTATTTTTTTTATTATGATTAACTATTTAATTACAAATTCAATTCAATAAAATTTGATTTTAAGTATCATTCAAACTAAATCATTAAAAAATTTAATAATTTCAATAATATTTTACAAAAAAAACTCATCAATTTTTTTATCTTTATTTATCAAAAAGTCAATTAATGCGGTTAATTCAATTATCAATTTTAAAATTTAAAAATTGATCGAGTTTATTAATTTAATTAATTTAAAAAATTAATTATAACTAAAATCGATCAACAAAATTTACTCGATTTTGATCAATCTAATCTATTCAAATTGATTTTTACTCACCTCTACTTTTAATCAATAAAAAGTAAGGTTTAAAAAAAAAACCTTAATGTGAAGGAGATGCCATGGATATAAAGTATAACCACTCACATATAGCTGAGGCTTTGAAAATGCAACAAAAGCTTATCAAGTTGATGACATTTTCGGCTTTGACCCATTGCTAAGACAAAATTGTAAGCAAATTTCACATCATTTAGTATTTTATTTTCAAAATATTTTATAAAAACTGACCTTTAATTGATACTTTTTTTTTACCAACTTAACTTTTGAATGTACAAAATAATTTCATCAATTCATAAGTAATCTTCAACTATTGTTGTGGATTAGACTGCAATGTGGAAATGGCTAAATCTAGATATTGCTTTTTATCCCCTTCAATCATGATGGAACAACTTTAACCTAAAGTCAAAAAGAAAAATAAGGAGCATTCACAACCTTAGTCTCATCTAGCATGGCATTGGATTGGAGTAATGATCAAAATCATGATGGACCACTAACCACACAATATTTATTTATGAGCATTCAGACCCAAAACTTTCTTTAATGAACATGCTTGAAATAGTAGGAGCTAAACAAAGATATTACAAATCAATAAAAATAATATTTGATACTATACATGGTATTAAAGAAAAATAATAAAATAAAATAAAAAATTAATCGATGTAAATTCAATTAATAAGAGAATTTTTTTATTATTTGGTTTTGAATTTATTGAAAAATTTTTTAAAAAATAATATTTTATAAATTTATTAAATTTAATGTACATAAATTTATTTGAATTGGTTCAGAAAAAAACAGTTAAAAAGTGTAAAAAAAAAAAGTTAAAAGAGTCAATATTAACCGTTCAAAAGATCTCCAAATTAAGTAAAATTTCAGCCGTTTATCTTATGCTGTCAAAATCAACACTTTGCCTTCGATTGCAACTGATGTAAACATTAAGCAAGTTGCCTCAACACTGCTCTCTCTCTCTTCTCAGCTTTTCATTTTGGACCGTCGGTTCCTCATCACCTTCTTAGTTACACGCCTCCGACGAGATATTTTATTTTTCTAAAGTTTATCCTTTTATATTAAAAATTGATGAATTTTTATTTAAAAAAAAAGAAAAATATGAAAAATGACGGCTGAGAAATTTCCTTATTTCTTAAAATGAAAAAGGTATGGATAAAAAATAAGTATAAAAATAAACAAATAAAAGATAGCATGTTTATCATGTTGGATGTTTATTTTTCGGTGAATATAAATAGATTTAAAATTTTAAAATATGATATAATAATATAATATAAATATGACATGAAAATAAAATATAAAAATAATATTATTTAAAAATTTAATAATAAATATATAAATTTAATAAAATAAAAAAAATATTTTATATATTTATATTGACATAAATTATAATACATAATTTTAATATAAAATATAATATAAATATATAAATTTTAATATTTTATATGATATAAATATATAAATTATCAAATATAATAATAAAAATATTATTTTTTAATAAATTCTTAACTTTTTATTAAATGATTAAAGAACTTTTAGAAAATAAAAAAAAATTAATTTCGAATCGATTTTTTTTTTCATGAACTATGCCATCTTATATTTTAAAAAATAATTATCTTAGATACATAATATAAAATTCAATTAACAATTGTGTTGCACCCTGAGACAAAAGTGAGCACATGTCATTTTATGTTTCAATTTACAAAATTACCCTTTCTATGCTTTCATTCCCCATTTATGTCACAAGAGCTAGTTTAGAACTAATTAAACCTTCATTATGTCTTTGCGCTTAATAATTAGAAATTAAACTAACAATAATATGATAACTTCCTTCTTAGAGGATAATTATCATTATGTCCTCCAACCAAATCACAAGCAAATTCCATCTCACTAACTCAAAAAATTCATCAACAATCGAGATATAAATCTTGTAATATAAAATTTACCCATTTTAATTAAATATAAAACGATGTTAGTAATATGTTGAAAAAAAAGTGAGTCAACAGTAAATTTATTTTTTATTTAAATTTAAAGTTTGAAAAAATGATTTTGTAAAATGTTGTGAGGTAAATTTCGGAAACGATGGGTGCAATTTCGTCATTAAAAATTAGATATAACCATCGAAACTTCATCACTAAATTGGTAGATGCAGTTGGAACTGCCATGGTCCTGAACCAACAAACAGGTTTAATTTCCTCCAGGCTACGGAAACGGACACGTGTCTAGAAAGCAACAGCCAAGGTCGGTGGTATGATCACGGTTTCTCTGGTCCCTCTCACAAACCAAAATTTCATATAAGGCGGTGCAAGTATGGACACGTGGCATATTTAATAACAGCCACATCACCTTTATCCTCGTCCGTGGAACGAACCGCGTAGAAATGAAAAAGTGAAATTAAAAAAAAAAAAAAACGATTTGGAATTGGCCTGATTTGGGCCCTTGCATGGTGGCTTCTGACCCGGATCCACCAAACAGTAAATACATGGAAAAAATTAAAATTGAAAAAGCCGAAAAAGGAAAAATTCTCAACAAACATGAACATAACAAACCGGTAACCGGATCTCCTTTTGAAATTTTCTTTCTAAACGCACGCAGTTGAATTCTTTACGCTGTTTTAACCGGCTTAGCCTGTTAGACTTTTTTTTGTTTTTTAAAATTATATATATTATTGTTTCTTTCTTTTTCAGTGCATTTTTGGAAGAGCCAAACCGCTCCTTGGATAAATAAGGAACGCTTGAAGCTATTCATATTTTTTTCTGTAAGCTTCGATATTGGGCGTACGTAGCCGGAGCTTCTGATCGGCCGGCAAAAGAAAAAAGAAATTTTTTTATTGTTAATTTCATCGAAGTCCGAACAAAAAAAATATAAAGTAAGTTCCTTCATCTACAAAAAAAAAATGGTTTAATTTTTTTCTTAGGAATCTCGAATTGCATCGGTTTTCGAGTTTCGAGATCCGATTTTCATGGTAACAAATGTGCTTTTATAGATCCTAGTTTCTAATTTTTTTGAGGAATTCTTTTTTTTTTTCAGTATTATTTCATTTTATTATTTTTTGTTTTGAATTTCAGTTTGCTAAGGTTCTGTTTGGCAGCGCGTTTGAAAAGCCTTAATCTTTCACCACCAAGCTTTAACAAATGGTAGTGAAAGTAGCAGCAACGGCGTATTTACAATGGTTAAAGCCAATTCTTCCTCAACCTCCATCTTCCTCTGGAGCTTTAGCTTCAGCAATTTCTTCACCTTCCCTACGGAAACGCTGCCGTAGCGAAGACGCTCTTATTTTGAATTCCGTTCAAAGACTGAACCGGTCGGCTCTGTTTGGTTCTCACTCGACCAATATACGACGGTCCCGGTCTTGCGAGTTTCTCAAACCAAGATCCAGAACTTTAAGAAAAGCTTGCAACGCTACTTTAGACGCTTTCTCCGATGAAGAATTTTCGAAAAAAATTCGAGACTTAGCTCTCAGATTCCAATCATCAGACGACAATGATGACACAAACAGCAAATGTAACGGGAATTCTTTAGATTCTGAAAGGGAAACGGAAACCGTTTCCTATTCCGAAACAGAATCTTTGAAATTCAACGAACAACCGTCATGGTTAGAAAGAGGAGATGAAATAAGCCATTCAAGTATTGAACGTAAAGCCAACAGCGTTGATCTTCCGCTTTCGCTTCGAATTATAAAGAGGAAATTACAATGGCAAGAAAGGTTTCGAGAAGCAGGCGAATCGGCTTATTGTTCAATGAAAAAGGCGTTTTCTTCGATGGTTTTTATAATTCGCGAGCTTCATAGTTACACTTTGCAAATGCGAGAGCTTTTGTTTTATGAAGATTTACAAGGAATTCTTGTTAGAGGTCAAAAAGAGATGCACGCTTCGTTCGTTTGGTTGTTTCAACAGGTTTTTTCTCATACACCGACTCTGATGGTTTACGTGATGATCCTGTTGGCAAATTATTCGGTTTATTCTATTGGAAGCAACGCTGCTCTGGCAGTCGCAGCAGCGAATCCGACACCTGGGTCTTATGTTTCTGTGGTTGAAGTTCAAGATTCGAAGCATACAAAATTTGATTCTTCGTCAATAAAGTCGTTTTCAGTGTCGTCATCGAGCGGAAAAACTACTTCGATTGGCGGAAACAATGGCCGTGGTGGAAAAGTCAGGCCGGTTGCTAGTGGGACAGACGGTAACGGATGGTTTGATGAAGCAGACCAATTCAGAACCATTGTTCCTGATGGTGGTTCCCAGTTATCATCGCCGGGAACAACACAGGAGGCTCAAACAGAGTCAACATCAGGCCGAGTAACTGGAGAAGAAGAACTCAGTCTTTGGAACTCAATTGTTGATGAAGCTTCAAAAATGCAAGCTTTAATTAGAGATGAAATGCTCGATCATGAAACAATTCAGAGATTTATTTCGCCTGTGACCGCAAAGATCGAATCTGATGGTGATTATGAAGATTATTTCAGAACGGAGCTTCTTTACCAAACAGGGTTATCACAAGAGCCTAACAATCCTCTCCTTCTTGCCAATTATGCTCAGTTTCTCTACCTTGTTGCACATGATTGTGACAGGTACAAAATCTTTGCCATCTTTCGTTCAATTTCCTTTATTTCCATATTCTTTTGCTCTATTTTAAGTTGGTTTTAGTTTTAACAAATTGGTATCTAGATTCAAGGTGAAAATAAATACCGAGTCAAGCACTGAGCTGATTCAGCTGAAGTTGGAATTACAATAGTATCTATTTCTTGGCTTTTTGTTTCTGACTGCGCAGAAATAATTTCTAGACCCTTTAAAATGTTATCAACCTTGTCTTTTTGCCCATACTTGGGATGGAATTTCTTTGAGCCTCTGGTAGAGGTGAATGTGTGGTACAGATTCAAAGCTTTTCCTCTCACTGCAAATACGAAAAATCCCAATCTATCGCCTTTGTGCACGTGACCTTTCACGCGGTGAACAGGAAAATATCACCCCTGCATGCGTTAGAGCCATAGACCTATATGAACAAGTTGTTGAAAATTTGACTTTTGACTCCAGATGCTGGAGATTACAGCTGTTTTGACTTAGGGTATTATTATCATTATTATTTTTTTGTTGCTTTGAAAACAGGGCGGAAAAGTACTTCAAGAAAGCAATAGAAGTGGAACCAGCGGACGCGGAAGCATACAGTAAATACGCGAGCTTTTTATGGAGAGTGAAGAATGATTTGTGGGCTGCGGAGGAAACTTTCCTGGAAGCAATTTCAGCAGATCCTAGTAACTCTTATTACGCGGCAAATTATGCCCATTTTCTATGGAATACTGGTGGAGAAGACACTTGTTTCCCTCTTGGCTCTCCAGAGACTAGCCAAGAAGATTAAACCCTTTAAAAAAACAAAGAAATAAACATCAGAAACATAACCCACCAGAGCAAAATCATATGTCCACCGCCCCAATCTTCTGGTTTTTTCCCCTTCTCTTCCAGAATTTTGTTCACGTGAGGAATTTGGGGAAGTGCATGGAAGGTGGCGACAATGGGAAATTAACTTGTTTAGCACTGTGCGGACTTTCCTCTGCAGGAGCACAGGCACGCTGGCTCTTGAGATCTACGCGGACCACATGGGTACATTGGTTTTTCTGGACTTCGGACATGAAGGAATGGGATCGTTGGGGGAGGAATGAAGCTTTGTTAAGCTTATTTTGGCCTTTTTTCTTGGTTTACACCAAACCACATGACGATTTGTAATTATTTCTTTTTGTGAATATAAGAACCATTTTAATTTTTTATTTATGTTTTATTTATTTATGCTTCAAAAGTTAGGATTTGATCTGCAAATATCAATATGCCGTAGAAACACATGCCTCTTTGGAGCTGCTATAACAAATAAATAGTAATTATTCTCAAATTACACCTTTCCATCGTACTTGCTTTCGGTCATCTCCTTTCATTTTGCATGCTTTCCACTTTAAAATCCTTATTATGGAATACAATCTGTACATATTTTGCGAGATTAATTAATTAAATATTTTGGTTTTTTTTTTTTTTTGCAGTAAAGGAGGAGTTATTTCATTGCTGGTGAAAGGGAATAATTGCAGAATAACATTCCTTGTCTGATTAGAGATTTTTTTATTAGATTGAGTTCGAACTCGATGTTTTTTCTTTGAAACCAACTCTAATATCTCAGACTTTTGCATGTGGTTATTTTGTAAAGGGTCCTTGAAAAGTTTGATTAGAAATTAAAGGGGTTACTGTTGAAATCAGATCTAAGTGTCTACTCATTTAGTGCATCATCTGCTGCAGGAAAGGTTAGCAAGGTTCAAGCTAGAGTTTTTTTCTTTTAAGGTAATTGAAAATCTTAATTCTTAAAATGAGGTATTTTTAAACTTTATTCCTAAACAAAGATATTTTGATTTAATTAAATTCCATGTCAGGGTTATAGTCCATATCAGTATCTTCTTTCCTGTACGCATAAATAATCTCTATCTTCTATCTTGTAATCTCATCTAAGAAGAAAAAAACCTGCTGCATCTCATCAGCTCCATCATCATCTCAGATTTTTCAAAATTTAAAGAAAAACTTTACAACTTCAAATTGAGAGAGAAGAAGGAATTTAGATCTAAAAGCAAAAAAATAAGGAAAAAAAAAAGTTACCTAACGAAAATTGAAGAGTTTTTTCTGATGAAGTCCTCGTGGAGGCTACCATTGTCCTCCACCTTCACATGCTCTTCCAAATGTTTTCTATCAGCGCCTGGAAAGGAATATGAATGCTTTTAGATCTCCTCATTGTGGTTGGGCTAGGGAAGGCATAAGAAAGAGATTTTGGAGTCCGTGGTCCACCGTCTCCCAGGCATGAAGGCAGGATTATCTGGACAATGACTAAGGGAAGTAGATTTGATAGGTCAATGCCAATGGATCGGGGACATGGAGATTATTGTTGGGGCTGAAGAACATTCAGTAATATATCATAATAAATTTATAGTAATAAATAACAATCAATAATCAATAACAAAAATTCACATACTATCAAAAAAATTTATAGTATTAAATAATAGATATATAAAATTATTTTCTAGTTAAAACTACAACTAATCAATAATTGAAGAGATAATTAGAGAAATTTTACCTAATAGGTGACTTAATAAATACACATTGAATTTGTTCTTTAATGTAAAACTCTGAATCATAAATTTGATAAAATTTCAGTTCAATCGAATAACGAATCGATTTTTGTTCAATCAATTTTTTTTTTTTTTCAAATAACGAATCGACTTCCGTCTAATCAATTCTTCCTTTTTTTTTCCCTGTATCTTTCTTTGGTTTCAGCTCCACCACCTTCTATTTCTCTATTACACAATCTTTTTTTATTGTTTAAAACTGTCCCTCACTCTTTCTAACAATTGTGAAAGGGGCAACTTTTTCAATGAAAGGAAAGGGTACGAAAGGCGACCACCATGCATCTGCACCTCTACCTCCACTTTTACAGCTTCTTCCTTGAGACATATGGCCAAGTGATGTGAAAGAGAGGAGTAGAACACCAATCAGGTTTCTCCTCCGCCAAAAGAATATTGTCAAGATATATACTGTGGAAATTGGTGGCCCAAATGCTGCAATCAGGCCTGTGGCAAATAGCAGAGGGAAGAATGCCAAGCAAGTGACTTGGGTTTTACTTCTTAAGACTCATCGTGCTGTCGGTTGTGTTGCTCGAATTGCTGCACTCTCCTTTGGATTGCCACACTCTCCAAGTGAATTTCCTTTTTATAGGTTTTGTTGTTACTTGGTTGAGAATTAAGGAAGCAAAATAACAAATATTTATGTCTTAGGAGATGTTGACATGGAAGTATAAATCTGACGTGGAATTCAATTAGACTAAAATACCTTTATTTAAAAATAAAATTTAAACATACTCTATTTTAAGAATTAAGATTTAAATCTATCTTAGTCAAGGAAAAACCTCGTTCAAGCTAAGCACAAGATGAACAGGATTTGGCCACCTGACCGACCTTGCATATATGGCTACCGGCCAAGAATAATTTCTTGGTTAGCCGATCAAGTTTGCATGAGATAGAAGAAAAAAAAGTTTCCAAATTTTTTTTGGATAAATCGTGATTTTTGTTAAAGTAATATTATTTTATATTTAATTAATATCAAATTTCTTATAATTTTGTATTCAGATAGAGCATTTTTACTTACAATTAATTGATTTTAAATTAAATATTTAACATAATTTCAAAAACAAAACTTTTTATTATTTTTTTTCTCAAATTTATCACGTAATAGACATTTTTTATCTTCGCCTATGCATTAACAATTTTATTTACCCAAAGTAACAGAATTCTGTTACAATACAAACAATTCAACTACATCATAGTTGACAACAGCCTATTTCAACGTTACAACATTTAGTTTCCATGCTTCAACCCAAGTCCTTATTTGATCCGCAACAATCTTACTTAGCCCCTAGTCGCACTCTAACTGACTGAATTAACTGCTATTTCATATTGAAAATGAGTATGGAAGAAGTTTCATATTGAGAGCTTGCTATAATTCATAGCACAAAATTTTAGACAATTTTGAGAAAATCAGAGTTCTGCACTGCACACCAGCATCATGGGATTTGAGTTACATCGATGTGGAAGTCACCGCATGACCCACAGATCAAAGTTTAGAGCCGTGTTTGCCACCTGATCTGTTGTAGCCAGGAGCATTTGTCCACCCTCATCCTATCTTTGTTTTCATTCTTCTACAATATTCATCAAATACCATCACTATAATTCAGAATAAAAATAGCTTTTTTGGAGTTCTCCCATCTATACTCTAGTGGTTTTCTTTCTTTAATTTTCTCCATCTGATCGAAAGCTTGTTACAATTATGAAGTAGAACTAAGTTATAACATTAGAATATGCTGGTAATTGGTAAAAATGTTTTGAAGATTGTAGTAAAAATCATGGATTGATCAATTTTGTCTTTACCAACCATAAAAGATGATTAATTAAGAAAGTTGAATTGTAGTTTTTCTTTTAAGCACAAGTGTCAAGCTGCTTTTATAGCAAACGTTAGGAATAGCCTATTATATATTTAGGGTCCATTTGATAGGGAGAGAGATTTCGGTTACCGCATCAAAATGAATCTAATCATAAAACATAACTGTGACACAATCTGTGAATCGTATAATGATTAGTTAGGAGTTCATTCCAATCACATTACTAAATGAACTCTTAAACTATTTGTGCAGCCATTGATTATTGCCTATCAAGTTTTTTTTATTTTGTCAAGCAGATAACCAAAATGAATTCTCTAAAAATTTTGAAAGTTTCTCCAATCCAAGACAACACTTTTCGTATTTTTTATTAAGTAAAAGGTTGATCAAGTAGCGACCAAAATCAACTGAGATGATTGACAAAGATTATGGCCAATTAGCCATGCACATGCAAATGTTGGGGGCTGTAATGTTCTTCTTGTCCTTTTGCAAAACCATAAGTAACAGGCCATGTTCATTATGGAGCTCCTTCCATTACTTCTTTTCCTAATTCTCTCAAATCTTCTAGGGATTGAGTTTGGCCAAGCAGAAACTGACAGGTTTTTCACGTGAAGAGATGATGATGTTTAAGCTCCTTCTCCTCGTATCTCTCCTTTAATTAATACTACCCCTTTCCCTTCCAGCCAACCTTATCTTTTCCTCTTCATTTTCTATACTTATTTCATCAATTAATTTTACCAAACCCCAAGGAAATAGAAAAAGAAGCAGTGATTGGATTGAATCTTTAGTGTTGAATAGTAAAAAAAAAAAATTATATATATGAATCCAATTGATAATTTTGTCACATGCATGGGGTTGACCACTTTTTTTGTTGCAATTTGTAAGAATTTATTGAAATTTAGAATGACAATTGGTCTGTAATTGATTTTGTGAATCTTTTCTCTTTTCCAAATGAATTGAAATCTTATAAATCATATATTTCAGGTGCATTTAGAGATCGATGGCTAAGACAGAATGTAGTCAAACTTCAAATAATTTGAACTAAACTTCAATTGTTCACCTGGTTGAGATGATGAAAAACTTGTATGACTAACAAAGTTAAACCTTTTAAGATGTTCACTTATACATTTATTACATATTCCTGTTCATTCAAAACGAAAATCAAGAAGATGGCGAAGAGTAGAGACAACAAATTATTCAGCAAAACCATGGACACTTCATTAAGCGATCCTGAGTTTGTTGTCTGCTTAGCTTTGTCCATGATACGCAGTAAAGTAAGCTGTAAAACATTATATATATGTTGCTTGATAGTTGGTTATCATAAAAATATACAAAGGTCTGAAAAAAAAGCAAAAAAAAAAAAAAACATGCTTCCTACATTCGGAGCTCAATGCCTTTGGTTTTGGCACGGCAATGGAGGTGGGTCGGATTCCTGGATTCTCCAATTTCAAGCCCAATAACAATCATTTGAACAGGAGCTCGTGTGTTCAATGATGCCCCAAAGGCCCAAAATTAAGTACAGTTATGGGAGCATTGAGCTCAGAAAGGTCCCAAAAAAACCAATTTAGGGGCTCCAAGCTGGATCTAAAAGGCAGGAATGAACCAGGAATGAAATAGGCAATAGCTACTATGAAGATTTACTTAGTTAAAAGTTGGAAAAGCGATCTTGCAACTTAACTGAGATTGGCATCTTTTTCCAACTTTCCAGTTCCAATTCAGTTACTTATCAGGCGGCAAACTTCTCTAGAAAACTTTGATGGTGTCCAGATGAACCGATTAGTGTTTCCTTTTTATATAGAACAGTACTGCCATGATTGTAGGACCAAGAGCAAGAACACAGAATGCAAGTAGCCAGGTACCATGGGCCATTTCCTTACTAACGTCTCCAAGAAGATAGAAAAACAGGTACTGACATTTTGCTACGACCGCAGCTGTTTCTGCCAAGGCATCGACGTCTTGTCTTTCAACTACTACCCCCACATAATTTTTTGGTCGTCAGAAATCAATGGATCGAGTGAATGAGCACCTAAACATTTGATCATCAGATTTCATGGTGACTAAAAGGACCGGAAAAAAAGAATTACACCGGTTTAACTTGGTCATAAAGGTAATGGGAATTTGGGTTTTGTGGAATGAAACAAGTTTATGAAGTTTTTGAGGTTTGATACTAAACATAATCCATTTTAGTAATGAAGATTCCAATAGTCCATTTGAACTCCATGTTAATCTCAAATACATCGAATCTCAACTCAGCTAGTGTTGCTGCTGTTTTAAGCTCAAGTGTAAGAAAATTTTAAGTTCAATTATATATAATATATATAAGATTCATCTCAAATCAAATTAAAATGACTGTCTTTTCATCCAAACTAAATAAATGAAAGGAATTACACTTGGAAATTAAGAATTTTCTCCTGCATGAACCATGTAAGGTTACAAAAGATCAGAAGCATAAGTACATTTATATTAGCAAGTTTCTATCAGATAGAAATTCTCCATTCTCTCAAATTATATCAAACAGAAAAAAAAAAAGTAGTTGATAAATTGAAATTAGATCTACCACGTACCATACAAAACTGTCTTATATATATACAGAAAGATACAGCCAAAAAACCTACTAATTTGATCCAAACAGAAGATTTATACATCACATTCTCTAATACACGTGTTATCCTAATTAACACAGACAGATGTTCCTATCATACCATCACAGCACTCTCCATTGAAATATGGATAATTTTAGCTGTAACCCTTTTTTTTTGTCACAGGCAGAGAGGTAAAAACCTGTCAGAAGAACACCATAAACCATCATCATCACCAACACATCTCACAAAATTTCCAGTATCCCAAGTGATTAAATAAGATTAAAAAGTAAAAAGGGATAAGGTTAGGAAAAAAGAGCAGAAAATTAAAGATTACATATATTCAATCTCACACTCAAACAGTGTACACAATCACAAAGCAGGGCAGCACAGCCCTTGGATTGAAAACCAACAGCTCTTCCTCGTCAACCTTCTTTTGTACTCCACTCCCTTCTCCCTTCACTATCACCGAATCAAATCCACCATCCACCTTGTCTATTTCTTCCCCTTCTGATCCGACCCGACCCGCCACGACCCTGCAGACAAGCATGGCCCGTTTCACGTTCATGAACTTGAACTCTTCCTCTACATACTCAGGGATCGCCAGGTGTGCTCTCCAGCTCGTAGATAGCGTGGAGATTCCATCCATCTTGGGTGAAAAGCCAGACTTAATTATCCCACAAATGCTACAATATTGTTGATTGCAAATGCTGGAAATCCCGTTGAGTCCCAAATCACACATGAAAGTTGAACAATAAAATCTCAAGAGCTCGTTCCCATCAGCTATGCATCTCTCGTCTCTTTTCCCTGCGGCACCGTTTCTTGCAGCTTTCGCTTTGACAAGCTCTCTGTATTCTTCGAACCTTTCCAGAATCTTTGTGCTGTTATGGATCTTCAAAATACGGTGGATTTCAGGGTTCTTAACTCTGTCGGTCCAACCTGTTTTGAATATGATCCCAACTATATTCTTCCCGGAATCGCCATCAATGAGTTCGGATACGGCGTGTTTGGTTGCTTGGTGTTGTTCAAGAAAATGCGGTTTTGGGAAAATCTCACCGCAAGCTGTGCATGGGAAGATAGCGTTACGTAGAGGGAAGAACGGGTTGTCGGTTGAGATGTCGGATTCTGGACAAGAATCGGATTGTTTTTTATGACGTGGAGGTGGGCTGTCTGATAAAAGAGTTCCAGGTGGGATATTCATGGAGATAAGGGATTGTTGGGAGTTTCTTGCAGAGGCTAACACTAGCGTCGTTGCTGTTGTTGTAGGGTGTGTTTGGATGGTGTTTTTGCAGTTGGCTTTATAGGAAGAAAAGATGCGTTTGAGATAAGACCAGGTTGAGGAAAGAACTTTGTGGGGTTTGTGAGAATAAGGATCAGGGGAAGCAGAAAGACGTGAGGGTTTGCGTTTCTTGGCTGGTTTTTGATGGACTTTGGCGGTGAAAATGAAGCAACCAAGGTGGAGAAGAAGGATGAAAAGAGAGAGGAACTTGTTGAAGAATGACCCAACATTGGTTTTTGCCATTGATAGACAGAGAGAGAGGGAGCTTCATAAAATGCTTTCCAGGTTGAGCTTGCTTCTGGTTCTAGCTTCAGGCCATCAAGCAGTCAATTACGTTGCTAAGAAAGAGGAAAAGAGAGGAGTTAGAGGGAATAATAAAAGAAGAAAGGAAAAGGGAAAGGAAATGAAGAACGTAAAGGAGAAGATGATGGCGGAAGAGTGGGGGCATGGAAGAATAAAGTTGTAGGAGTAGGTGTAACGCAACTTCATGGCACAATATTGGCATCTCTCTCTATCTTTGCAATTAAGATGATTGATCATCTGATATTCCTATAAACAGTAATTTATTTTTTTCGTTCTTGAGGTGAGAAATTACTCTTACATGATTTCCATTTTTGAAGTGAGATTATAAGTACCTTCTTTAACTGCAAATGCCATTTCTTTCTTTATCACCTTTCCTTTCATTTTCTTTAATTAAGAACTCAAAAGCCCTAATAATTTCTATATATTTCTTTTTATGTTTTATGCAACAGTAATTTAACGATCATGTAATCATTTTTGTTAAGTATTCAACTTAAATTCAATTGACGATAAGTGAAATGATTTAATTTAAATATAAAATTATTAAAAATTAAATATTTATTAGATATAAAATAATCCATTTTAAGAAATCTCATCACATATAAATGAAAATAAAAAAAAACTTATCACGTGACAGATTTAAAAATAATTAAAAAAATTTTAATTTTGATATCATATTAAGTATCCAACTTATATGACATTTATAAATTTTAATATTTACTTACATTCTTATACTGAAGAATACCTTTTCTTTTATAAAAAAAAAAAAAAATTCTTAAATTAACCTATCTTTTCCACTAAATTTAATTAAAAGCCCTAAGCTAATAATTCCTAATTGACTGTTTCAGCTAAATTGATTTAGACATTAAGCTTACATTATTCAGTCATGCAAGCGACTATAAGCCACTAGCAGATTGACCTCAGGCATAAATGAATTGTTATTAGCATAAACAACAATTTCAAAGCAATTTAAAATTTAAAATAGCTTAAATCAACCAATTATAATCTAAAATTGTCAACCTTCTAAAATCAAAACCATGGCATCAGAGAAATTAACAGGAAAATATGAAAATTATATTGTAATTTCATGTAAAAAATTATTGAATTTTTAGTGATGAAAAGGACGTGGTTGCACACGTGCATGTTCCCCCAATTTCAAGTGGCCGACCATTTTTTATACTGTTTTCGACTTATTTACAAAATTATTTGATTGGGGGCTTGAGTTGCAAGTTTTTCCTGTCTTGTTTCATTAATAAATTAATACTCAACATGCATTGCAGCTAGAAGAAAATTTCAATTCTCCAAAGTTTTTAACTTTTGCCTGATTCAGCATAATTTTTTTTGTTGGTATCAAGTGAGGTTAGAATCCTAAAATCATAAAAAAAAAAAGAAAAAAAGAAAAAAGAGAATGGTCAAGAGTAAAGGTATGGGGTATTCTTTATATTTGTATATATTTGTATTATATATTATAACGCTCAAATTAGATATCAAAATAAGATGGATTGGAAAGAGAAAAAAAGGTTAAATTAGATAAATAATATTTATATGACTTAATTTATTTATAAGCAAAAGGTAAAGTGTTTATAAGTTAAGTTGATGATGAGATCGAATTGAGATAATATTATAAATATGAAATCGATTTAAAAATAAAAAATATTTTTAATTATCTGCCTACAATATCTAATGAGAAAATTTTTTTTCTTTTTTGTTGAGCCAAAAAATACCCCTTCATGTTTACTTTAAACATGTTTTGAACAACTTTAACACATGATTTTGTCTAATTCCTCCTCTTTATCCTTCAAGTTCTTTTCGACATTAAGGTGAAGCCAGTTTTCAATAGAGATAGCCAATGGCAATTGGGATTTGATTTGTTTTTACATTGCAAGGACAAATCTCTTCAATCCCCATAATAGAAAAGCCCACAAAAAGAATCTCAAAACGTTTTAATCTTTATAAAAGTAACCCAATTGGATAGATAAATAAATTTCAGGACTTGACTCAACTTTGGTAACCCATATTTCACGTGATAACTAAATCAAATCTTTATAAATGAAACCATCTTAAAATTAGTCAATTTTTTTAAGGAAAAAAGATCTCACATCTTATAACCAAATATTAGATAACAGGCTTTAAAAGTAAGAGTAATTTTTTCCTTATTTATGTTTTTTTTTTTTTCAAATGACAAAATTGTGAAGACAAGTAATTAATTAACTGGTTACTCTTGAATTATTTGGACTTACCTCATATTTTACTAATTATATACATTCAAATAATAGTACTTAAGTACTAACTCAAATTGAGTTTAATTTTAATTACAAAGTTTGTCTATATATTTTCTTTTCTGCTATTTTGTTTCGTCTCATGATAAATTGGAAACCTGAAAGCAATATATTATTATTTATTGATCATGGTGGTGATGATGATCATGATGTGGGCCACATGATTTCCCCCAGACTACAATCTTGCTGCCAAGGTGGGTCCATATGGTGTCTTCCCTTTGGACGATAAAAAATTCCTGATGATCCCCCGTGTCCCGTGTTTCACGGTCATTTTTTTATTAAAACCCTTGACCCAACCCATTTGTTTTATAGGCTACGTTTGATAGGAGAGAAAAGAAATAGAAGAAAAATAATTTAATTTAATAGCTAAATTATAAAAAATATATATTTTATTATGTAATTTAATTATTTAATTAAAAAATTTTCCTTATCTTTCTTTTTTATTATGTAGTTGAATGAACCTAGTCAAGAAAAATAAGTAAAAGAAAAAAAGGTTAGGTAAATTAATTAAAGTATTTTTATCAAAAATTTGAAATTGATTGAGTATTGTGATTGGGGAATTTGGAATAGAGATGTTGAATTTGCTTATAGGAATTTTTCTCTTGTTGTAACGTATCTTTTTTTTATTACATTTTAAAACTGTTTGATATGAAGAGAGTCGTAAATAAAAAATAAAATATTAATATTAATATTAATATTTAAATTTTATATTTATTGTAAAAATTGAAATTAAAATTTGGGTTGTAATTAATTAAACAAGTTAGTCTTAATAAAGTTTTAATGGAGCAGCCAAAAAATACTATATGAATCAAAGTCTGACCAAAATGTTTATGAAATTTCAGTGAAATGATGTACTACTATCTTTGCTTTTAAGTGTTCAGTATAAAATGAAAAGAAAAAGAGCTAAAGCATTGTTATACTTTCAAATGCGAAAGCAAGTCAATGAGGGTATTGACTTTGACTAATAAAACGAGGCCTCGTTTTGTGGAAGTGTAAAGAAGCTGCTGATCGGGTTTCTTTTAACGTTGGAACATCATTTCTTTTGAACTTTGCTTTCATATAAATAAATAAATTTATTTATTTATTTATTATGCTCTTTTGGAACGTAAGAAGGCTGCCGACATTATTTTATTAATTTATGTTTCATTTGCATGGTTGATCGAAAATATTTTCAACACATCATTACATCGTTTTAAAATTAAAAATTTTTTTATTAATCATTTAAATGAAAATTTACTACTCCAACAATATTGAAATAGTTCTTTTGTTTAAAATATATAAATTAATAATCATTAATTTATAATTAATGAAAAAATAAAAAATATTGACATGAATCACTGTTAGGATTAACCGCAATCTTTAAAATTACAATGAATAGAATAATGTAATTATAATTTATAAGTAAATTAACTGTACAATTAGAAAAACTTATATCCCATTCTATAAATAAATCAAATTCTATAAATAGTTATAATAAAAAAATAAAAAAAAATAAAAGTAAGGGAATGCCTGTTATATCCTTTTCTTTTTGTAGTTAAAAGAGTCATTGTAGGTCGTGGGTTACATAAAAGAGGTTTTAAAAAAAAAAAAAAAAAATTTTATAGAGGAACCATAAAGGAGGAAGAATCTATAAAGTAATGTTCAAAGCTTGCATAATTATGATGTTCAGACCGGCTAATCAACCATTGGCAGATTCATGTTTTGTGAAAAGATTTCATGGACATTTTAAAAATAAAAAAATAAAAAAAATTTTCTTTTGACATTTTAAAATTTTTTTATAAATTTCCTTAAAAATTGAAAAAAAATTTTTAAAAAATGTATTCATGAATACTCAATAAAAAAAATAAATATATTAATAATTTTTTATATATATTATAAGTCGACACCCATCGTTCTGTACATGAATATAAGTTTTTGCCTTTTTTAACTCATTATGCTGCACGCTTGGCACTACTTTTAAATATTATCTTCTCCTTTTTGTGTAATGCAAATTAAACTTTTTATTTATTGTCATCTTTATATTTTTTATTCTTAAATCTTAAAATAATGCCATTTATATCTATTTAATTTCTTTAATTTAATATGTAAAAATATTTAAAGTTTGGATTATTATTTTATACATCATCGTTATATTTTTAAACAAATAAAATATTACTACACGTTCCATTGTTTATTAGCTTTTTACATATCCTTTAGTGAAATTTGTGATAATCCTCTAATAGGATTATTAAGTTCAAAACTTCACTCAAGATGTATTGAATAAATTTTTTTTTTAAATTTGTCAGACTTAACTTTGATTTTCATATCAACAATTCGTAAAGTTAATATAAGTTTCTATTGACATATATGATTTATTTTGACCTTGATATGGTATAAGTGGAATTGTTTTTCCTCATTAGGGTATAATTGATTGAATTTAAGATGATACAGTATTAAACTTAAGTTTGAATTTGATTTCAAATTTAAGACTCGAAAATTTGTTTAAATTTGATCCAATTTTTTTTTTTTTTTAATTTGAGCTCGACTCGATATAAAAATGTTAGTAAATTTAAGAAAAACAGAAATAGTAAAAAAAAAGAAAATATAGCTTTGAGGCGTGAATAACACTATCTTAAAGGTAATTATGCCTATAGGATACAATAAAGCCTTAAAACTCTCTAAATCAGAAGTAGTGAAATTGGTCAAGTAGAAACATCTATTTATAATAATGAACAGTCATTAATCAAGTTAATACAAAAAATCATAATATTTTGTATAGTCATGTTTTATTGTTTAAATAAACAATATTTAAACAGTCATGTTTTTCACTGTTCAAATATATTTATTCATAATCAGTAATATTTTAAAAATAAAAAATAACAATAATACAGATTTAAAAATTAAATCTATTTGTCAAATAAACCCAAGTGCCCGAATGCCCGTCTTTGACTTTTAAAATTGTCTAATCCACTAGAAAAACTCCTAGCA